TTTCCCCCTACCACCAAAAAGAAGTTCAGTAGTAGAAAATAGAATGAAGCTGGGAGTCATCTTGAGCTCTGTGGGAGGGGACCTGGATCTAGAAATTTATAAGGCAGAGCTGATGATTGCTGTTGACAAATAGGAAATCTCAGGTGTCCAGAAGAGAAAGGGTTAAGAAAGGACAGATATGAACTTGTGTGTATCAACCTGCTACAGCATATTGGAAAATGACTGAATAGAAAAGCCATAATTTGGGTCAGCCCATGGCAAGGTGGTTAAGGCAGTTAGATTCTACATGGTCAACCCTGGCGGCTTGAGAAGCATGCCAGATGCATTGTGTATGCACAAAATTCCCAATAGAGAGGAAAGGATTGTGGTATGACTGTTTCATGGAGGCAAGGTGCTTTCTCATTTCCTCTCTCTCCAATGAACACACACTGCCTCTGGCAAAAGTGGAAAAAAAAAAATCAGTAACAGAATTGTTACAAACAAATGCCAAGAAGAGCTAGAAGTCTAAAGCTCTGAGGATCACTTTGTCCAGAAGTACTTTAAGAATTTAACCTCACTTGGGGTAAAGGGTACAGTCATTATGCTTAATTGCATCTTCAGGTTTGGACAAACTATCATCTAGGACGTAAATTTAGTTTTTTGTTAGTGGGCCGGTGAGCCTACCAGAGAGAAAAAGGAGAGGAGAGAGCATGCCCTATTAGGATTGACCATGCCACAATCCCTTCTCCATTTCTCCCTTCTTTCAGGATTTTGGGCACATAAGCACACATACCGTGCATGTTTCTCAAGCCATCCAGTCCAGGACTCCAACTCTGTGATTGGACATGTGGAAGCCAGCTTTCTTAACCATGAGGCCACAGAGGCAGCCTAAGGACAGTAATATTTATACTTTTTAAAAATGCAACCCGTGGTTAAGAAATAGACTGTAGGGCCAGCAGGTAGTGTGATGGTTAAGGTACTGAATTCCCACATGGCCAACCGTGGTTCGAGTTCTGGACCTGGCAGCTTGAAATCACGCCAGGCATCTGTGCATGCGTGCATGCCCAAAATCCTGACAGGAGAATGGAAGAGAAGATATTGTGGTATGGCCATATCCCCTGGGAGGTGATTTCTCACTTTGCCATTCTCTCTGTTGAGTGCATGTGCCCTATGACAGAAACCTAAAAGAAATAGACTGTACCTAATATCCAAGCACTGACACACAAAGTTCCATGAAACAATATACTTAATCATGTCTGATGCATTCTGAAATGTTCTATTTTAATGTTTGTTCCTCACAAAATCAATTTCATAACCTACTAATGGATCTCAAACTGTGGTATGAATACACAATCATAGAGATGAGTCCAGATGGTTCTTAGGGAACGAAGAGTGCGACCTACTTTGTCAGAAATACAAGCATAAGTAAAAAATGCTATGCAATCTCTCTTTA